TGAGTGGATCAACATGAGGAATGGTAAGTCTTCTACGTTTTCCGGCATGTAGCAAGCCGACAAACTTCTGAGCATCTCCACAAGAGCCAGGACATCCTCTGCAGCAGCAGGGGAGCTGTTGAGTTGGGCAAACCCCTGGTTCTGGAAAAAGGGGTGGCTGGGAAGATGTCTCTTCAGCTCTGCCCCATGCTATCCTGTAATGGCATGGAGAGGTAGTCTCATCCTTTGAGCTCTAGCGACCCCTGAGCAGCACTTTCTCCTCCTGGCTCTGCAAGATTCGGGTGCACGTTCTCAGAAGCAGTGCCTGGATCTGCTCTGGTACCTGGGAGAAGTGTAAATATCACCCTTGTTTTCCTCGTGTTCCTTGGCAATATCCAGCAGTAGGGAGTACAACAGATACACTGTACTTCACATGCGCAATATAATTTCATTGTACATTTCATTTTGTATTTTCCCTTTTCCTACACCATGAAATAACAACCAGGATTAACTGACTGAGAACCTACTGCAGCCTCTCCTGAAGCTAGTGAAAGGCTTCCTAATGACTCCACTCTTAGCTGGACTGGGCTTTTAATTTCTGATTTCCTTATGTCTCCCTTTACTTACCTACCCACCAGTCAAAAGGCTTAATCTTTTCTCCTTCAAACTGAAATCTTTTCACACTTCTAATCAGTTTTTTTATTGCCACTTTGGGATGCACTTTCTGCTAAATCTTTTTCTGATGATGAATACTAAATACAATATTTAAAATGGATTTTCAATATCAAGCTCTGTCCTCCGTTGACAGAGTGCCATCTCTTTTCCTTACCACTCTATTAGCATGCATTAGGTCTATTGTAGTATTGGCATATAGTTACACTACACTATTAATGACTATAACACAAAAAAAATACATGCTTGCTTTCTTTTTTAAAACCTTGTCTATGATTATGTAGCTACTTATCTACATGCAAGCCACTTTATTATCTCCTTTGGGGTTTCTGACTTTTGACAGCAGCTTTGTCAATGGAGATTTATCACAAAGAACCTAGAAGGCTACGAGACAGTCTTATTCTTCCTGCACATCCTGCTGGTCTCTGTCACATGAGGAATGTACTCAACACTCCTGCCTGTTTCTGTGTAAAGCTCGCAAAAAGCATAGTGCGGGAATGCCATTATTCCTATGCAGCAAACAACATCTTTTACGGGCCCTTCAGTTATATCTACCATGTTAAGGTAGATGTAATCTCTACAGTGTAGTGGTTTTATTTGTCAGAATTATTTTAATTCTACAGATAGAAATATATTATTTTTGGTAACTTGTGTAAAAGTTAGTGAAATCTTTACCTACATTTTGCCTCCAGAAAAGATCAAGGTAGCAGAGAACATAAGCGGATGTTTTCCTTTTTAATCATGTGTAAGGCAGACGTTTCTCCATTTACGCATTTGTCTACAAGAAGGGAAGTAGTGGAAAACCTCTGGCATTATTTCTGTTAAGAGCAAGAAGTGTCTCAAAAATGCGGTATCTTTTCTGGCAGGGCAGCAGACAGTGATTTATAAACCTGTGGTGACTGTAGGGATCTGCTAAAAGGCTGAATTTCATTCAGATTTGATGAATACAATTTAAAAATACAGGCACTTGTGTGCTTTACTGGCTTTCTTAATGAAACATTTATTCAATAAACTGATCAGTAGTGCTTGGTGAGGCTTAGCAAATGGTAACAACATCTGGAGAAAACTGACTAACCACACAGTCTTGGGTTTAGGCATTAGCATTGATGTTTTCTCTCCTCCAAATTGCACCCTTCTCAGACAATTGTTTTTTTTCATAATTGTGTCAGTGACACTAGATAATGGTCCATGGTGAAACACACAAAAATAGAACAGTACTGTTTGGCACCGGTTGTAGGAACTTAACCTTGAAAATAGGGGAGTTAACACCGCTGTTAGCAAAAGGGAGTCTTGTACCAATTGCAAGACACATCAGGTAATGGTCCCTCACGGCTTCTCCCTGAAAAGTCTCACTTTGGCTCCTATCTGGAAAGTCCTGCTTTGGAAATCCCCAAAAAGTCCCCAACCCCCAGAGACCCTTTTTGTAATCCATAGCTGGCCACTTCTTTTGATGCAGGCTGGCCCCCTACATCAGAATAAGTGTGCATTTTCGTTAGTGTAAAAGCCTGAGCCTCATGCAATGCGAGGAGGCAGACCCTCCAACCACCCAGGTCAACGTTGCCTGCTAAGGTTGAACCTGCCACCTCGCACTGCAATGATGTTTCTAGGAGCTGGTTTCCTGATCATCATCACATAGTCTTTGGGGTTGGTAAGATAACCAGACATCAGCAATATCCTTTACTGTATCTTCTATTATCTCTATATTCTCTCTGTATTAATAAACTAGTTGTGATTTCTCTATTGTGTTTCGTTTCTCTCAACATGGAACCCCCAAACTCTGGAACAATAATTCAGGATGAGAATTCAGAATCTGAGTAATTAAATGGTCTTTCTTAAATATCTGTATTGCTTTTGAGGATGTATGGATCAAAATAAAAAATGTAAGAACTTAATCCATACTAGACTTCTATTACCATTTGAAACAAAGCATTAGTCATTAGACACTCATGACATAAAACTCATGGTTGAAGTGAGTTAACTATCAAAGTAGAAGGTACAGCTAGGAGAGCTAGTTTATCATCTGACTCATAATCCTCTTTTCAGGGGCTTTATTGTGAAAATTTTATCCTGCACATGGTTTTAAGGGACAATGGCAAGTTTTTGTGAACAGCATCCTTTGTCAGAATGATAGTCAGTCAGGAAGGTATGTAAGGGGGTGAGTGACAAGATGGAAATTACCAAGATAAAATGTGGTATCAATGTCCTGGTAACTGTTACTTTTCACATGCCTTTTACAGAGCATTTTAAATGATCAGCCAAACCTTCAACTATGTTGGAAAGCATTGAAATAATATGGAGAGCTCTGTACCAAATTATCTCAGTGCCAAGAAATGTGATGTACCCCAGAAAGCAATAAATCCCCATATTTTGTCAGTTGTTATTACCAGCAGGCAAGATTTAGCATTATTCTGATACTTAGTTTTGTTCTATAGGAAAAATCCAGCAGCCCAGGATTCAGGGAACCATCAACATGATTTAAAGCTCTCTTTCACATTGATTCAGGATGCTACATGTAAGAAATTGGCTTGGAATATTTAAATTATCTGAATGCTTGTAGAAGGTATTTAGAAGATACTAAATATTATTTTTAATGAAGTTGATAGCTTACAAGTATGTATTACTGTGCTCTAAGCTTCATAGGAACTGTTGGCCTCTGTCACATTCAGTGTAAACAAAGCAAGACCTCTGAAGACATGGCAGAGGCTAACATTGCAGAATTATTTACAAGAAGCAGATGAATGCCCCCTCTTAAGAAGCAGTGAAATTTGTGAACTCCAAGTTTCTGCTCTGAACAGAATGCTTTTTTAAACAGAATCATTCAGAGCATGGGCACGATGCCTCCACCATTCGATGCTGAGTGGTATTTTAAAAGCTTATGTTCAGGATAGGTAGATGAAGGCGTCATTGTATCAGCAGTTGCTGGTGAAGGATGTATTAGAGTCCAAAGAACAGCTCTGTCTGGTATGGTACATTTTGTCTTCCAAAGTGTGGCCTATCTTCTGTCATTCCAACACATCATGTATTATCTCAGTTTGTCTTTGTTATTTAGCACCTATGATCATGCAAATGTTGCTGTAATGTTGCTAGCTCAGGGGATACCCTATGCTAATAGGCCCTGTTTATCCCCTTCAGTATCCTGTTTCTGTGGATTGAAACAGGAGGGTGCTATTTGGTAACATGATTCTATTAAACTCTCACACAAGAAAGAATCCAATTCCTGTTAGCTGGACTCAGTGCCTTGAGTCAAAATTCTTTTGACCTGAATGTGTACACCTCAAATTCATATATAAATTGATGAGGCACAGCATTGGTAGATGAGGAGGTGGTTAGATAGGGAAGGGAAAGAAACGCAACTACCATAATCACAATTTTACAACTGTGAGAGAGCTCAAAGCCACATCTTTATGTGGCCACTTTTATTAGCTTCAGTATTAGAATTGCTGTAGTCAAAATGTGGTGGCTCTTCCTTGAGCAACTTAAGGCGGTGGAAACAAATTTTTGGCTATTTCTGCCTTACATTAGGATGCTTTCAGAAGTGGGAATATACTTTCTTTGAAAAACAAAACAAACTGTTCTAAACTTTTCAGTTAAAGAAGATGACAAATGTTTTGGAGCATGGTAGAACTCATTCAAGTTGGAGGCAGAGAGAAGGGTCAAGACAGCACCACTTGTATTCAGTAATGTTCCTAATCATCATGGCCAGTGGCACTGGAATTACTATTCAGACTGTATGCTCATTAGCACTTGGCAGCTTGCTAGTTCATTAGAACTGGCAATAGAAACAAGTGATTTGTATTAATAAACTGCGGAAAAAACACATCTTCACAATTGCTTGATGTTTTTCAGCTTCCCAAAAAAGCTCAGCTGAACAACTTGTGTCTACTATTTTCAGTGCTTTATTCAAGTGCCTATAAATCAATCCCCATGAACTAGAGGATGTTAGAATAAATACATTGTCAGTGTTCTTACAGTGGTGTTCTGCTTCCTGGTCTGTAAGGAAATGTGGTAGAGAGACTACATGGCTTTTCTAATCCAGTATGAAAAGTCAGTGACAGAACCAAGATCTGAATCTAAATGATCCTAGGCTCTTCCTTCAAGTGCAGTCGTGAATGACAGCCTGAATGCAGATCTTGAAATATTAAGTAGAGTGGGTTTGTGAACAGGTTCTGTTGAGAAAGTTAAGACAAAGCTGGCATATCTTGCCATCACACTCTGGTCACATGCATTAATGCAAAAATCTGCTTCAAGAACTATGGCTCTGCTCTGGTTCAAAATGTGAGAGATTGTGTAACCCCATATGAAAGCTATAAACATGTTCCCCCTAGTAATACACTAAATGCACATATACATGCATATATATATAAATATTTTTACATGCATACATACATATGCACAGACACATAAATACACGTATGTGTATAAATAGGCAATGAGCCTGAGTTCTGATAAACAAGCACACAAAAGTCCACAGCCATTTGGAAGTTTAGTGAAGCTGGGGGAAGGAAGCTAAAGTGCGGTGCAGAATTCATACGTATCACTCATGTTGTAAATGAAGAGTGGTTGGATGCTGCAGAAGGAGGACAAGGGACACAGCCTAATGGTATCCTCTTAACATTGCTGCTGTTCTGTTAGCTAGATGGTGGGTAATCCCAAGCCTTACTGCTCACTTCCAAGCCTCACAAGATGTTACAGCAGAAAAGTGAGTAGTGAGAAGTCTCGTTTGTAGCAGACAGCAGGAAACACCAGGGCTGTTTGTTCTGGTTCTTGGTAGTCTGGCCTCTGGCTACAAGAGCAGCACAAAATGCTCGTTGTGGATCCAGTGCTTTTGGCTAAGGTTAAGAGGCAGTGTCCATAGAAGGCACTGGATTCAGAGGAGGAAACTGCAGGTGTCAGAGACTCCCCTCATGCTCTTCTGTGGTAGCACTGTGTTCTGGCCCTTATGTGAAGCAGCCACAGGCTTCCTCCTCAGATCGTGAGACCTGACATAGTTAACAATCTTCAAGTCCTGGGCTAGAGACAGAGAAGAACCACAGGGATTCAAAAGTCAGTGCCAAGGACTAGTAAGTGAAAGATTAAAGCTCACCCTTCTGAGAAATGCCCCACAGACATCTCACAATTACTTCTTTTCATAAGAAGGATTTACTGGAATAAAGGAGCTGTTAAAACAAATAAATACTGTTAACAACAACATGTCTGTCAAGTTACAAAGGCACCTTCTTTTTCTTTCCATACACTTGGTCCTTTCAAGGTCCTGCTCCCTCTGACAGAGATCAAGGCTCAGAGGCTTTTGTTTAAGGAATAATTTTTGAAGAAGAAAATATTTTCAAGAGATTTCATGGTCAGCTACGGTAAGAGTTCAGGTGATCTGTTTTCAAGCAATGGCCCACTTTTCATGGTATGCCTTAGCTTTGGGGGTGGAAGGTTTTCAATCAATTAGCATCTTTTTAGGGTTTTTCTTTTGAATTGGGAGGCAGCTCGCATGCAATGTCACTCTTGCCAGCAGCACAGCAGCTGTTAATTGTATTCCACAGAGTTTGTCATGTGGTGACACAAGATAGGGAACTGAAAAGCAAAGGGCTGGAACAGCACAGGCATATAATCATAACGGGGGCCTGTTATAATCAAGCCATATACATTCTGTTTTGGAACTGGAAGAACTATCTTTTCAGAGTGATGAAAGACTTGGTAAATTGGACTGTAGGAGTTAAGAGATTACTAACTTAATCAGAAGAGAAGGCCTCTCCATGTACATTTACATTTAATTGCATCTATCCAGAATTATCCTGTTGTAATGGATCACACAATAGATTACCCAATACACAATTAGTAAGTGTTTTTATAGAGGGTAGGAAAAAAGTGAGCTCTTCTCTACTGTATTAATCCATGTGCACTGGATGCAGTAGGGGTAATATTTTATCAAGTACTTCTGCCCTCACCCATAGGGACATTCTCTCTCAAGCTCCTACTTAGACATGAGAATGGGTCAGGTTGTGAAAACTGTTGCAGCACGGGACATGGCCCTTACCATGTCATGAAAGCAACACTCTGTGGCAGACTTACCTATGGTCCCATGAAGGTGGGCAATGGAGGAAGAAGGGACATAGGGGAACTCTACATCCATGCGTGGATGCTGAGTAGCTAAAACTCTGTTCTGTTGGAAAATTGTATCTCTACAGCTTTCCAGCACCTAGCTTGTCTATGTGTCAAATTTGATAGGTATGGATTTTTACGAAGAACACTCCAATGCAATCATGCAGTTCACTTACAGGATAGCTACCTAGCCTCTCCTACCATCTTGTAGCAATTCCCATGAAAAACAGTGGCATTATGTCAGTATGGACAGCTGTTACTAAGCTTAGTCCTCCAAACACCTTACACAACAGATTACTTCAAAAGAAGCCACCTCATTATGCACCCATGCTCCCATTCTGCTCCTGGTATCCCCTTCTCTTGTTCTGGCTTGGGAACTGGTGGCATTGCCTGGTGAAGAGGACTGGGAAACTGCTCTGGGATAACCATTGCTTCCTTTTTTATTTTTTGTAATAGATTTTTCTGGTTGGGTGATTTTCGGAGAGCAGAATTAGGCCAAATTGCTGTGCAAGGCACGACATATGTACTCAGTATATCTTTTCCATTTTTTTTGTTCTATCTGGAGTCCCTTTCTGTCTAAGATACCAGCCTTCTACGTTGTATTCATTATTTCTCTTTCTGTCAGGCATTCCTGTGATAAAGCATGAGTTTAGAATTCCATTCACCTGTTCACAGTGATCAGGGTTTATTATTATAACTGGTTGATGACCAATGAGGATCACTTCAGGGAAATCAGCTGGAAAACTGAAGCTATGAGAGGTCATTTTTAATCAATTTCTCTCCTGAAAGAGAGAAGGTCTCTTACTTCTGCTTGTTTGCCCAGTCAGGAATGCAACCCTGATTAAAAAACAAAAAAGGAGCAAAGAATACAAATAACCTCAAAGATGTTTCACAGCCTGTGCATAAGCTTACATTTCATTTGTTACAATAAAGTGATTATCAATGAAAAGCAGGATTTGCAGTTATCCCACAATGACTGATATTTTCTCTATTCAGAACAGAAAATATTTCTACCTACAAAATTGTTGATGTCATAATTATAACCACTATTTTACACCAGCTGGCCACATGCAGCTTTACTAAAATGTTAAAAAGAAGTTGGCACATATAATACATATGCGTTCATTAACATATCTCTCAAAGAAATACCATTTTGGCTTCCTAAAGACAAGACTGTTGGTCAATATTATGTGTGTCCATATGACAAGCAGTCAAGGAGTGACCTCTTCAGGAAACGGTGATATTCTAACTTCTGTTTGACAGAGGTGTGATGGCACCTGGAATAATATAAAAAAAGAAAAAGAAAATACTTATAAAAAAACCCAGTGTTCTTGAGGATTAGGTAAATCCTGTGTTAGCATTCAGATTAAAACCCCCCACTAAATTCATGGTAGATATTTGAAACATGCCATTTATGTCTGGAATTTGTGACTGAAGCCTTTGCTGTTGTAAACTGCAGTAGACCCACTGAAATCTGAGCAGTTACACCAAGACTGCAGCAAATAAGGACCTGGCTCATTATGTTTATTCACAAAGCTTGTAGAAGGTGCAAACTGTAGGAAAACATAAATGCATACTCGTAACTGTGAAGGTATTAAACCACAGGATCAAATCCCAATTACTCTTTGGAAGCTACAATAGGAAACAGAATCCTAGGAACAGAGGGCTGAAAACAAAAAATGAGAGTACATTCAGAAGTGGCAAGGATTTCCTTTGTAAGCTCCCTAACCTTTGTATTCCTTGTTTTTCAAACCATAAATTAAATTGGACAATAACAGCTATCCACAGCTACCTACAATAACAACTGTATGACAGCTACCTTAATTGTTTCGTGAGATACGTTGAAACCCACCAACAGAATCTGCAATAGAACATAAGTTACATCATATGGTTCAAATTCTACAGGTGTAATAAATCAATAAGTAATAAATTGAAATGTTTAATGCTTTTTGTATTGTCAGCATGACAGTAGCAGAAAGAAGGACTTTTTTGATAACTCAAAGATTGCTGGTGAACTTCTGCGACAGTAAGAAACATCGTAACCAAAATTTAGAGAAGAAAAATCTTGGTCATTTGGCAACAGAGAATGTAAAAACAAGGCTTTAAAAACTTTTCATATTGTTTATTTCATTATCATACCAGGATAAAAGAAGTCTTTACTAATATGTTCCGCAAGTGAATGCATAGTCCATGGTAGCATCCACCTCTGAAGACCAGAATGTAGCTGAATATATCCAAGGCTGTATGTTATTTGGAAGAAGAAAGAGAACCAGCATCATCCACATATTCCAGAACAGAGGTAATTTTACAGATTTTAATAGGCTTGGATTTTAAAGATCTGTTTCCTACAAGAGCTGGTTTTGAGCCCAAGGATTCCTGCTCAGTATCTTCTTCAAATTCTATGACAAAGACCACCCCTCCCCACCCCCCCCACCCCCAGTTTCAAAAATACTCTTTGCCTAAATTCTGTGTCCACAGAATTCCACAAAAACCTTTTTAAAATCTCTGTAAAAGTGCAGTTGATTATGCTGGCAGAGGAGAGTATAAGATATCTACAATAGTATTTAAATGGTTTGTCAAAAATATCCACTTTTCTTCCTTCTGACAGTAAATAACTTGTGTAAGTGCTGTAAGCCATTTACAGGTATCTAGGATATGAGGAATGTGGGCATTTATCAATTTGGGCATATTCTTCTTCTGTGCAAAACTAAAAAGATGAAAAACCTAATTTTTACTATTTCTAGAATGGTCTCATTACTTTGGCTAGCATAGGACTACCTGTTTGGTAAAGTTAAGCTTGTGTTTAAAAGCATTGCTGGATCAACACGGAAAAAGTGGTAACTTTTACCAGATCATTTACTTTTGCAGATCAGTGTTCATGGAGTAATCCGTTAAAAGTGGTGGTCCTGCATATTTTATTGAAAACTGCAGTATTAAAGTGTCATTTTAAGGCATTTTTAATTGCATACATAATGTATTAAAGTATAATAAAAACATGTGTCCTGGGTTCAGCAGTAGCAGTCATTTTTCCCCTTCTTGGTAGCTGGTGCAGTGCAGTGTTTTGACTTTCAGCTCGGGAACAGAGCTGATAACAAGCGATGTTTTGGTTTGGCCAAGGACTTTGTGAGCCTCATGCTCTGCCAGGGAGGAGGGGGAGCCAGGAGGAAGCAGAGACAGGACACCTGACCCAAACTGACCAAAGAGGTATTCCATACCACAGCACGTCATGCCCAGGATGTAACTGGGAGTTAGTCGGAAGGGCTGGGAGACTGCAGGGTTGGAGGAGGTATCGGTCAGAGCTTGGTCGGGCTGGGGGGGGTGAGTTATCGGTCGGCTGGTGGTGAGATGATGTATTCTCTTCCCTTGTTATTTCCTTTATCATTATTATCATTGGTGGTAGCAGTAGTGATTTGTGTTATACCTTAGTTACTAAACTGTTCTTATCTCAACCCGTGGGAGTTGCATTCTTTTCGATTCTCCTCTCCGTCCCTCCGAGAGCAGGGGGAGGGCAAGAAAAGGGGGGGGAAGTGAGCGAACGAGTTACCTGACTGGGTTTAAACCACGACAACATGTTAGAAGTCTCTAGAAATTATTTAAAAGAGATCACTCTTCAGTGTTGATGTTTTCAAACTGAGAACCTTCTCATACCCATCCTTAATTTTGATTCACTTCAAAGGAAGAAAACGTGTAAGTATTTGCTAAACAAGGATGAGTTTAATTCATAAAAGCTCCCATGAAATAGTCCTGCTACCATTAGCTTTATTGCATGTTTATCCTGTCATTAGTCAGGACAGCAGTACCATATATGTCATTCTCATGTTAAGGCAAATTATTTTTGTGGTGGCAGATTTTTATAAATCTCAAATGCTGATATATGCTTCACGATACGGATTTGGGAGGCTTGGAGAAGCCCCACAACA